AATAGTCCAAACAACATGGCACATTCTGGTGGGAGCACAGGGAGCCAGAAAGGCAGGAGTCTCACAGTCCCTTACAGAGTTTCACTCCCAATGACCTAAAGACTTCCTATTACACCCCTCCCCTCTTTTTTTTTTCCCCCAATTCTGGGGATTGAACCCAGAGCCTCATGCTTACTAAACAAACCTTCTACCACTTGAGCTATGCTGTGGGTCCTTTTGTTTTTGTTTTGTTTTTGAGATAGGGTCTTGTTGCTACCTTTGCTGGAGCAGCCCTCACACTTTATGATCTTCCTGCCTATGCCTCAAGGGTAGCTGTGATTACACACTTATACCACTATGCCCAGTTTTGGCCCCACGTTATTAAAGGATTCATATCATCTAATACTGCCATCCTGAGGACCAATCCTTTAACACACAAAACTTTGGGTGGGGAGGAACTCAAGCCATATCCAAACCAAAGCAGTAAAAAAGTAGTTTAACCTTTCCTGGTTTTTGTTTTGTTTTGCACCCTGGGGTTTAAACTCAGGACCTCATGTTTGCTAAGCAGGTGCTCTACCACTTGAGCCACTCTGCCAGCCCTTTTTTGTGATTTTTTTTTTTTTTCCAAGATTGGGTCTTGCAAACTGTTTGCCTGTGGCTGGCCTATAACCAATGATCCTCATCTCTTTGAGTAGAGTAGGTAGGATTTACAGGTGTGAGCCACTGGCACCTGGCTTTGCTGTCATTTTTAAATAGCTTGATGTTTGGGATATTATATTTTTGGTTTTTTTTTTCCTTCTTCTGTTCTCTTGTTACTTATATGTTGGTTTGCTAAATATTCCAATGGTCTCTGAGACTGTTTTTCCGATTGTATAAACTATAGTGATCTGTCTTCAAGTACAGAGATTCTTCTTCCAATTCAGATTGCTGTTGATTCCCTCCTGAATGTTTCATTTCAGAACACTATTTCAGTTTTTGTTTTTTTTTTTGATGTGTACTAGCTGTGTAGTACACATCAAAATGTGTACTAGCTGTGTAGGCCAGGCTAGCTTCAAACTTGCAATCCTCCTGCCTCAGGCTCCTAAGTGCTGGGGTTTCAGGGGTGTACCTCTATGCCATCATGTGATATCCTTTAAGGCTGGAAGGTTTTATTGTTGTTGTTTTATGAATCCAGTTTATCCATTTTCTTTCCTTTGATTATTTGTGCTGTTTGTATTATATTGAAGAAAAATTGTTGCCAGGGCTGGGGATGTTAACTCCATGGTAAAATACTTGCTTAGCATGTTCAAGGCCTTGGGTTCAATTCCCAGCACTGCCAAAAAAAAAAAAAAAAAGAGAGAAAGAAATCATTGCTAAATCCTAGGTTATGAAGGCTTATTCCTATTTTTTTCCATTCTTATAAGAGTTTGTGCATGTGTGTGCGCATGCATGTATGTATAGATACACACAGAAGCATGCGCACGCATGCATGTGAATGCACACTTTCTTTTGCCATTACTGGGATTTGAACTCAGGGTCTTGTGATTGCTGGACAGTTGCTCTACCAATTGAACCCTTTCCCAGCCTTTTTTTGCTTTACTTATTTTTTAATAAATTCAGACGTTTTTGCCTGGGCCCTTAAACTTTTGATTCTCTTGCCTCCACCTCCCAAGTATCTGGGATTACTGGATATGCACCACCAGGCCTGACCTAAAATATTATTCTTAATGAATGGTAGCATGTAACTGTTTAATTAAAGTGAAATAAAATGTACTTCTTTAGTAGCACAAGCTACATTTTATTAGCTTAGTACCTACATGCAGCTGATGGCTACTATTATACTGGACAGCACATACTATATATATAGTATATAATATAAATATACATATATATTTATTTTGGTAGTGCTGGGACTTGAGCCCAGGGTCTTACATGTGAGTAATCTACCACCGAGTTACATCCCCAGGTGACACACACTATTTCTGCCATTACAGGGAATTCTGTTGGACAGGACTGTTCAATTCTCTTCATCTGGAAAAAGATGAAGAAATAGGAAATGTGCAGTTTGGTTGATTTTTTTTTTTAATGGAAAATTTCATGGTTTTTCTCATTTTAATCTCATCTGAAATAAAAATAATGTAAGCATTTTATAAAGATCTCTTCGTATATCAATATGTAATCTATACAGAAAATCCTTATAACAATAGAAAAAAAATCAATGATCGCTAGGAGCTGGAAGTAATGGTGGGGGGTAGACATTGATGACTATAAAGGTAAAAGAGGACTTTTGGGGATAATCTTGATTATGTAATGTTGTATTATTTGTACAACTGAATACATTTTTCATGGCTAGAACTATATACATAAAGGGAGTAAATTTTATTATATGTAAACTATACCTCAATAAACCAGTCATTAAAAAAAAAAAGCACCTTTACAAAGTGTGCTATTCTTTTCCATTTTGAGATTAGAGGAAACCAGCTATGAAAGGTTAAAAGACTTGCCTGTGGTTCTGCTCTTGGTATGTGGCAGTTCCAGGATTTGAAATTAAATCTGTGTCATATAGAGCTCATGATCATCCTACTGATGTTTAGTCTGTCCCTGGCAGTATGAACAATATGTAGGTTGTATTGTGAAAGACTTACCATCTCTAAGAAGCTGGGTGCCCTCAGCAGCTTCCCAAAAGTGGCTGACAGTCTCATTCCAAATTTTGAATCCCTCATGGATTCCCTTCTGTCAGTCATTAGTTGGGATTGGAATTGATGCTGTGTGCTGCCTCAGGCATGGTCACTTCCTGTGTCTGTGGCCCTCATTTTGGAGCAGCGGGAGACCTGATCAAAGCTGATGAGTTTCTATGATTATGAAAAGCAATTTCACATTTTGTCCAATCAGCAACACAGAATGCCTTCTCTGTAGGAGAGTGCTCAGATGTTTACAGGGCCAGTTGTGGTGCCTAGCACTTGTCTTAGTCAGTTTTGTGCTGCTGTAACAGAATACCATAGACGGGTCATTTGTACTGAAGAGAAATGTATTGGTGCACAACTTTGCAGGCTGGGAAGTTCAGTATCACGCTGCTGGCATCTGGCAAGGGCTGTTTGCTGTGTCATCCTGTGGCAGAGAGTAGAAGGGCAAAAAAAGAGGTTAAGAGAGGCCCAGATTCATCCTTTTATAAGGAACCCACTTCCAAGATAACAGCATTAATCCATTCATGAGAGCAGGTTCCTACTGGCCTAATCACCTCTTAACATCCACGTTGTAATTTTCCTGCACATGTTTTTTGGTGAATACATTGAAACCATAGCAGTACTTTAACAGTATGGCTCACACTAGCTTATTAGGCAGAGAACTGGTTTTCTATGTTGTCCTCACATCAGTGTCAGTATGAATCGACATATCACTTTACAATTTTCGACTAATTTTAACATCAGTGTCTTCGCTTAATTCTTAACTCTAGTTGTGAGAATATTTTTTCCTAAGTCTCAACTGAAATCTATATGTCTTCTTTAACTTTCATCCTCAAGTTGTTGTAGTTTTAGTTTGTTACCTGAGGTGGTTTGCTAGGGCTGCACATTGGGTACATTTCCAAAAGTTCTGGCTTCTGAAATTAACCAGTGGCATTTTCCCTTTTGCCTGTCTGATGGCCTTAGCATCCTCTCTTTGGGAATCCATTCTTTCTCCACCTCTTATTCCAAAACCCTGGACAGACTAATTAATCATAGAGCAATTGTCATCAAGCCAGTTGTTCACTGCCTGCCTTCGACATTGGACTTGTTTCCTATCCTGAAGTGCTACAAGAGAAGTTAATGACCTAAAAAAATTGCCCATTTATCATATGAACCTAGTTTGAGGGAATTAATGTTATTTTTATGAAGTATAAATAATATATCTGGAGACATGTTTTGAAACACATGTCAGCTTATGTGTAAGAAAAGGCTCCCTAAATGAGGTGGAACAAATTGGCTGGTTAATAGGCCTTAATGACAGATTTTTCCATTAATCAGAATGGAGAATGTGCTTCATTAAGATAATTAGCAAAGCACTTTGCAGGTGATACTTATTGCACACAAATTTCCAAGTGTTATTTCTTTTCCTTGAATAAATTTGGAAAGAAATCCTGTTTATGTTTCCTTGCTTGCATTAAAATGTTTAATGGCAATAAATACTCATTTGTTCTTTTTTTTTCCCCTCAGGGTTTTATTATACCATATGTTTTATTTTTTTCCCTTTTGTTCTTTAAAGTTGTTAGTGACTGATGTCTTGCAGGCATAAGCAGTGAGTAAGACAGTTTTTCTTCCTCTTGTAGACTGTGTGCTCATCACCAAGCTCCTGGTCTCCCTTAATGAAACATAGAAGTGCATCATTTTCCAACTCTCGGACTAGCATCACTAGAATTAGAAAGGATCTCAGAGATCCTAAACTAATTCATTTTAACATCATGGCATTGAAGTCCAGAGAGGGAAAGTGATTTGGCCAATGCCACACTACTGGCAGAGCTATTTGTGGGATAGTGGGGCTAACACTGAACTAAGAGCCAAAATGCCTAGATTGACATTAGGCAAGTTATATAACATCTGTGGTCCTCAATATTACCACCTGTAAGAAGGGAAAAGTATCTAACATAGGTACTTCATTTAATCCTCTTTTTTCCTACACTGTGATGCTTCTCTTTGAGTATAAATTGAAGAATTGGGGTTTGGGGGGCAGTATTTGGGTTTGAACTCAGGCCTCATGATTGCAAGGCAAGCACTCTACAACTTGAGCCACACCCTGGCCTTTTTTGTTTTAGTTTTCAAATAGAGTCTCACATTTTTCCCTGGGCTGACCTTGAACCACAGTCTTCCTATCTCTACCTTCTGCATAGCTGATATTACAGACATGTGCTTCCATATTTGGCTTTTTTTTCTTTTTGAGATAGGGTCTTGCTAACTTTTTGTCCAGTTGACCACAAATCTTGATCCTCCTAACTCTGCCTCCCAAGAAGATAAATGTCAAGGATAATGAGTAATCAGTAATTAATGCTGTTTTCTTTGTCTTCCCTGTAGGATCCTCAGTCTTCCACAATGAACCCTGTTTACAGCCCCGTGCAGCCTGGGGCTCCTTATGGCAACCCTAAGAACATGGCCTACACGGGTAAGTGGTGTGAGAATAGGTCTCATTTTAAGAAACGTCAGTTAAGGTCATTACTTTTTGGTATACTATACCCTGGTAAAGGTTGGGAACTTGGAGAAGATAAGTCTGAGGTCCAGTAGTAATGGAAGTGGCATTTCTGACTTAAGGATTGTTGAATTGTCAACAAGTGGAATGGAAGGAAGGTAACACATGTTTATTGAGCTCCTGTCATGGGCCTGGCCTGTGCATGTTACTTCCACAAACCTTATTTCATTTCATCTTAAAGCAAATTCTACAAAGCATAGCTTTTAGCAACATTTCACAGAGAATCACAGTAAAAGTAAGAGGTTGCAAACAAAACAAATTAGATATTTGAACCAAGTTGTATATCAGCTTGTTTCTTCTCTCCCACTCTGTCTGGAATGCCTTTGTTCCCTGACTACTTTGCCTTATTTCTTAAGAAGTTAACTCTGAAATAGGACAGTGCTTTTTTCCTTACTCAAGTTTAGACAAGTTTTCTAAGTTTCCAGAGCTTTGGTATTTTTATGTATAAAAGGGAGGCAGTCATATTACTTCATTTCATAGGGCTGCTCTAGGAATTACATGAACTAGTGTAAGGTACTCAGCATAAAGTAACTGGCTTACAAAAGACCAAAAATCGTATGTTCTCCCTCATATGTGGACATTAGATCAAGGGCAAACACAAGGGGATTGGACTATGAGCACATGATAAAAGCAAGAGCACACAAGGAAGGGGTGAGGATAGGTAAGACACCTAAAAAATTAGCTAGCATTTGTTGCCCTTAACGCAGAGAAACTAAAGCAGATATCTTAAAGCAACTGAGGCCAATAGGAAAAGGGGAACAGGTACTAGAGAAAAGGTTAGATCAAAAAGAATTAACCTAGAAGGTAACACCCACGCACAGGAAATCAATGTGAGTCAATACCCTGTATAGCTATCCTTATCTCAACCAGCAAAAACCCTTGTTCCTTCCTATTATTGCTTATACTCTCTCTACAACAAAATTAGAAATAAGGGCAAAATAGTTTCTGCTGGGTATTGAGGGGGGAGCGGGAGGGGGCGGAGTGGGTGGTAAGGGAGGGGGTGGGGGCAGGGGGGAGAAATGAACCAAGCCTTGTATGCACATATGAATAATAAAAGAAAAATGAAGAAAAAAAAAAAAAGTAACTGGCTTAATAATGGTTATTATTTACAAGCAAGGGCATATAGGGTGCATGGCAGTTGAAGTGAATGAGAAATGTATGTAAGTTGTCCAGCATGGTATTTAGCATATTATAAGCTTTCAAAAACATTAACAATTATATCAAGGTAGAGGTAACAGTATAAACAAATACAGAAATTAAGAAGGTATTCTCAGGTACTTGGGAGGCAGAGATCTGGAAAATTGCAGTTTGAGGCCAGCCTGGGTAAAAAGTTAGTAAGACCCCATGTCAACAAATAAGCCGTGGGGGGTGGGGGAGTATGGGGGAGAAATGGCCCAAACAATGTCTGCACATATGAATAAATGAATAAAGAAAAGAAAAAAAAAGCGGGGCATGGTGGTGAACACCTGTAATCCTAACTACATAGGAAGCATAGATAGGAGGATCACTGTCCAGGCCAGCCCTAGACAAAAAAGTGAGACCCTATCTTTTTTTTTTTCATTTTTCTTTTATTATTCATATGTGCATACAAGAGACCCTATCTGAAAAATAACAAAAGTGAAAAAAAGGTTGGGGATGTGGTTTATGGGGGTGTGGAGTGCCTGCCTTGCAAGCACGAGGACCTGATTTCAAACCCCAATACCATGAAAAGAAAGTAAAGAAGGTATGGTCAGTCTAGGGGTGTAGCTCAGTGGTAGAACACATGCTTAATATGTGTTCAGTTCCCAGCACCAAAAAACAAAACAAACAAAATAAAAGGAATGTGTGGTCTACTTGAGCTTAGCTGGAGTGAAGAGTAGAAAAAAGAAGTGGTAAAAGCAGGATTATAATTGGGAGGATGGGAGAGTTTTGTCCCAGAAAAGGGTCATTGACAGTGAGCCCAAGCTGTGGAGTATACCAGTTTCTCCTTAAATTCCTTTATTGTGTGTGTTGTATAGCCTCCTAAGACTAAGATTGGCAGGATCTGAGAACCTGTTGTCTGCTTGTTTCCAAACTTTGTCCTATAAGAACACTAGTAGAGTGTTTCAGAGAGTCCTCAAATATTTGATTTAGTATTTTTTAAATATTGACAACTGGTTTTATAAATTTAGCATGCAAGCATGTTTGATGTTCAGGTTGTTAACTTAAGCTTCCAAGAATGCATGTTAATGTGGTGCTGAGGATTGAACCCAAGGCCTCACATGTACTAGGCAAGAGCTGTAGCACTAAGCTACATTCCTGGTGCCAGCTGCTTATCAGGACTGTCTTTACTGTGCAACCAAATTAACATCATGAAATATATTGGAAGTTGAATCGAACTGTTGTAGCTGCTATCCCTAACTTTCAGTTTCACATTTGCATTTACCACAATAACTTCATTGTCATTATTGAACCTTATTATTACTTTGTGTGTGTGTGTGGGACTGGAATTTGAACTCAGGGCTTTGTGCTTGCAAAGCAGGTGCTCTACTGCTTGAGCCACACCTTTAGTCCTAACCTTACTACTTTCTGTTTGAACCTCTATTATATATATATTCTTATAAAATTCATCCCAGTTACCAGGACACATGGGGCAGGATCCCACATCTTACTAGCTTGAGGAGCTTACTGCTTTTTCTCTTTCCACTTCAGGGTGTTCCACCATTCTAAGTTCCTTTGGAAGAGAGGACTAGCACACAGAACCCCTGAAAGTCCTGTGGGGCTTTGGTTTCCTGTTTGCTGTGGTCCTGGCTGTATCATTTCTACAAAGTTGTTAAGTTTGAGAAGGAAGGAAATAGTTGCATTTATTCATTGATTTGAAAAAAAATAATAAAGTTTAGTGTGATATATTGGAAAGGGAACAGATTTTGTCTCTGCTTGGCTGATAATAGAATTTGATAATATGCTTTGATTGAATGAACAACCAAGTTCAAAATCTTGCTGTCAGATAATAGCTGGATGACTTTGGATGAATTGCTTAGCCTCACTAAACTTAATTTCTTTTATAAATTGTGGTAATGATATCTATTTAATAGGTTGGTTGTGAAAATTAAATGAGAAATTTTATATCTTATAGAGGGAGGGAGGATTTTTGTTGTTTCTACTAATCACTAAAGATATATTTTCAGCCTGGACCTATGTTAAAGTTAATTTCCCTGCTGGACATTCTAGGACCACTCAGTTTATACTCAGATAGTATAAACTATGTATAAACAGTATAAATTCAGCCTTCACAGAGGCCAAGCTTTCAAATTCATAGGGAGACTTTTTCTTTTTTAAACTTAAGTTTTCTTGTTGTATCTCTGTTCTTTTCGGTTTTTTTTGTTGACATTGTTGTTTTGACTAACAATGAGATTCCTCAAAGTTCCCAGCTTTATGCAAGGGAATTTAAGTTCCAGTTGACCTCTCCAGAGCCCATAACTTTATTTCCTATCCCTGGTGGCTAAAAAGAGCAGGCCCTCTGATTACCAGGGCACAAATACCTTCCCAGAACACCCTAACATCAGCTCACTATTTAGACTTTCCGATTTTTTTGTTGTGTTTTGTTTTCTCTTCATTTTTTGATCCCTGGGGATTTCTTTCTTAAAATCTCAACTTTGCCTAAGATATTCATAATAATAGTAATAATGATGATGATGATGATGATAATGTTTGTTATACTTTATCCAGCTTTTGTAGGTATTTACAGTAGCAGATTTTCAGGTTATATTTTTTTCTCTGTTGTTGGAAGTAGAAGAACCATGTGAGATAATTTGTAAACAAATGCCAACTGCAGAACACTTGAGTAAACACTGTTGATAACAGTGATGGCTATGTTAAAAAGTATTAATTGGCCATTTGGCAAGCACTTGCTAAGCACTGTGTTATTTATAATCTCATTAATCATAAACTACATGGTACTTTTTTTTTAGTGGTGGTGGTGCTTAAACTCAGGTCTTATAAGATCCAACACCATTTCATGATAAAAGCTCTAAGAAAACTAGGAATAGAAGGAAAGTACCTCAACATTATAAAAGCTGTATATGACAAACCTACAAGCCAGCATTATACTTACTGGAGAAAAACTGAAACCATTCCCTCTAAAATCAGGAACTAGACAAGGATGCCCACTAACTCCACTCCTATTCAACATAGTACTGGAATTCCTAGCCAGAGCAATTAGGCAAGAAAAAGGAATAAAAGGAATACAAATAGGTAAAGAAGCTGTCAAAATATCCCTGTTTGCAGATGACATGATCCTATACCTTAAAGACCCAAAAACCTCTACTCAAAAGCTCCTAGACACCATCAATAGCTACAGCAAGGTAGCAGGATATAAAATCAACATAGAAAAATCATTAGCATTTCTATATACTAGTAATGAACAAACTGAGAAAGAATATATGAAAACAATTCCATTTACAATAGCCTCAAAAAAAAAAAAATCAAATACCTAGGTGTAAACCTAACAAAGGATGTGAATGACCTGTACAAGGAAAACTATAAACTTCTGAAGAAAGAGATTGAGGAAGACTATAGAAAGTGGAGAGATCTCCCATGCTCATGGATTGGTAGAATCAACATAGTAAAAATGTCTATACTCCCAAAAGTAATCTACATGTTTAATGCAATTCCCATCAAAATCCCAATGACATTTATTGAAAAGATTGAAAAACCTACCGTGAAATTTATATGGAAACACAAGAGGCCACAAATAGCCAAGGCAATACTCAGTCAAAAGAACAATGCTGGAGGTATCACAATACCTGACTTCAAACTATATTACAAAGCAGTAACAATAAAAACAGCATGGTACTGGCACAAAAACAGACATGAAGACCAGTGGAACAGAACAGAGGACCCAGATATGAAGCCACACAACTATAACCAACTTGTCTTTGACAAAGGCGCTAAAAATA